GAGGTTTGCTTTTATTTTGTATAACTTTTATAAAATTAAAATTATTATCGATATAGCATAGAGACTAAGAATATGATCTCTGGGGCCACATTACCTGAGTTCTGGTCCTGATTTCTCTACTACATGATTTTTGGCAAGTTATTTAACCTCTCTGCCTCGGTTTCTTCATTTGTAAGATGGGGATAATACTCTACTTCCTTTCTAGGGTTTTTGTCAGAATTAAATGAAGAAATTCATCACTCATTTACTAAAAGTAAAGTCCTTAGACTAACACCTGGTATATAAGTTCCCAGTAAAATACTAGCACGTAGTGTATCGTAAATGAGAAAATTAAAGCTGTTACAGGTGACGTGATGTAGGTAGTTATCCAACAATATGACTCAATCAAAATTAGCATTTCTTATTTTAAGACAGTTTACCAAAGTGGCTGTTTTTTTGAAACCGGAAGCCAGCAAATTTTCTCTTAAAGGGCCCGATAATAAACATTTTACACTTTGTGGATCTGAGGGCCTTGGTTATTACCGCTCAAATCCGATAATCGTGTCTTACAGAAAGCATCTGTAGACAAAATGCAAACGAATGGGTGTGGCTGTGTTCCAATAAAATTTTATTTATGAAAACAGGTGGCAGGTCACATTTGGCCCTGGTTACAGACCCCTGCTTTAGACACGGGAGTAATATCTGAAAAGAGACTGGATTCCATTACTTTTGAAGCATGAAATATAGTATCATGTGTTATAATAAATAGTACTTTTCTTCCTAGTGAGTTTTCTTAATACAGGATGGACATAAATTTTAAATAGTAAAGTATTTTAAATTGCACATGAACTTTATGTCCACCCTGGATGTTACTCTCAGTTGTGATAGTTACGCTTCACAATATCCGAGGGATTTAGAAAATAAGCAGCAGTGGTTCGGCGCCTATAGCTCAACCGGCTAAGGCGCCAGCCACGTACACCTAAGGTGGCGGGTTCGAATCCCCAGCCCGGACCCGCCAAACAACAAT